GAGAACTTAATGAGTTGTGATAAATTGCTTAACAAATTTCGCATCCCTAGATGAATAGCCGGTAGAAGTGAATGGGTTGGTAGTATGTGTTGGTTGGAAGCTCACCTCCAAATTGCCTTTCAAAAGTGGTAACAGGGTAGCTGATTTTCTCAAAATAAAATTTATTCTTAATAATTTCCAAGCATTTTATAATTCTACTATTCTTAGATTCAATTAAAATGTGCGACCACTTATCTTTGATATTTTTAAATATTCCATTATGGACATATCATTGAGTAATATCAGACCACCTAGAAGTATTTCTTAGTACCTGATTAAAAAGAAACTTTGAGTTTGTCGGAGCTNTTTCGTAAGTATGCCCTTTTGGGGTCAAATTTGTGTAGCGCAAATTAAATCGATTTCATTCACGCCATTTGTGCCAAAAGTATTTCTATAACAGCTCTGGAATTTCACTCGGAGGCTTGTTATTTCTTTTTACATTTAGCATGTGATTCTGATTAATTAAATAAGTCGATGTATTTTAAAGTGCTAACAAAATGCGGTTAAATGCCACTCTATACTTGAGTCAGTGCAACACAACGTTTGTGTTCTTTCACATGATTCCGATAAAGTTCATGAATTATTGTTTTAGGTGAAATGAAATTTCTCAACCAAACTGTATTAAAAATTCACATTCAAAACTGGGAAGGGAGGCCCTGCGAAACCATCTTATCTCAAAAGATTGGAAATAACGCATCTCTAGTAGCCCCCTCTTTTTGAATAGTTGACTATTAGTAACAAACTCAGATGTATAATACCCCATCAAAGTTTTATTTAGCTTACATATTAGCAAAATTTCATACCAAAATTTGCGAAATTTTTGACGATGGACAATCAATGAGTTAAGTGTCCGTTCTGTCTAAAATTTGATAGTTTATGCGTTTAAGCACTACAGATAAAAGGGGAGCAGATTCAATACTTGAAATGAACATGAGCGAAAGGTTATCTTGCAACAGCATTTAAGTTAATTCCATCGAAAGTGAGATTTAGTTAAATCTAATAATTGCACCCTGGGCAACGTATACTCATACGGCAAAAAGTCTGTTAACTGGCATTTGACTTCGACTCCAGGACCGCATGACATATTTTATTTTAGACAATATTTTTCGAATAGTATTTCCCGTTTGTCTGTCTAAACGGTTGTAATTGTGCGGTCTAGTCAAGACGTGTGATCCCTGAGATAATCGGGATACTTTGTAGTCGTTACCCAATATATGTAAATTCTAACTGCGGTCAATCCACTGTATTTGTGCTCTAATTCGAGGGTATTGTACCACCATAACTATTTACCTCTGGTAAGCCTTCAGAATTGAACTTACACCGAAGTATACAAGGGAATAATGCCAGTGAAATGAACATATTTATATTTGTCTTTATTTCCGTAATTAAATTATGCGCAATGGGGCCACATAGACGAACTAAGTCAAGTTAGTCATATGCCGCATTTTGATTATAAGCATCTTTCTAGGCGTCTATAAACAGAGCCTCTGACAAAGTAGCACGTTTACTTGGGATTGAGACTCCAATGTTTTTTATTCGGTAATGGCAAGATTTCTTTCGATTTCGAATTAGCTTCTGAATATTAATTAGGCACATTTTTTAATCAAGCCCTTTATACTATATTTTGGTTATGAGCTCATTACCAGTTTAGAAAATAAAATGCCAATTATGCATTAAACTTCTGCCTTTAATAGGAATATAATTGACAAATTATTTCTATTGATAACCACAGAATTTCTAAAAGTTTAATACATTTACTTGTGGGGAGCAGCGCAATTCTGTTAACTTAAAATTCGAAAAGTAATGAAAGGGTGTGGTAAAAATGATTTTCAAAGCAAGATCAAGGCATCGCGGTATTGGTTCATTTGATCTTTGGATACGGGTGGTACAATATTCACTAAATGGGTGTTTCGCATACCTAAATTCAAATACCGTGATTTGTCACCGGGATTGCAGTAAAAGGATGGCTATAATGTTCATCCCACAGTGACAGAAATATTGTGAAGGCAAATAACAAGTTTAATATTGCAAGGATACAAACCCGAAATTTTAACTTAATTCACGTCAAAGTCTCGTACACATTTTTTAAAAATTGATACTCCACTGGAGTATCAATTTAACTGCAGTTAACTTATAAGAAGAAAATTATTTAATCCAACTGGCAGGCGTTATGATAGGTATCATTAGCCCTTTAGTTGACTTCCCGTTATGATAGGTATCATTATCCCTTTAGTTGACTTCGGGGTTTTCAAAAATATATTTATTTAATCCAACTGGCAGGCGTTATGATAGGTATCATTAGCCCTTTAGTTGACTTCGGGCTTCAGAGATAAGAAGAGGAACATCAAAGAGCAAATAGTCGAGAGGGGTGACAGAATAATGATTCACGGACGTAAAAGAGACAGACAGACAGACACAAATGTAGAAAAAGGTGAGGTGAGTACTGTGAAATTAGTCGAATGTGAAATGCAGTGGGGTCTTGGTAGTTTGAAGTCAGAAGTCAACTGCCGGGTTATAGACTTGTTTTGCCGTATGAGTATACGTTGCCCAGGTTGCACCACGTGGAGGTAAGTCTATCGCACACCCCTAAGAAGAAAATGAACTGGTCTACATCCAGTTATCCTTCTGATTCTATAATCAATTGACTGTACCTTCCCTATTTACAGTTTCTCCTACTTATCCGTTGCATATATATTTTTGATTAGCTATCAAATTTCATATTCTAAAATCTCATTTTCTTCGAATGGTTAACCTCTAAACGTACTGCATAGTTTGGAACGGCTGCAATATTATATATGAATGCGTGATCTTACTCTTTCCACGTCAGTTGGCGTCTATCGGGTAAAAACCGTAAATATTATTGATAGAGACTTGCTTCATCAAGTTTTGTTAGCCATCACTATTTTAGAATTAAATAATGAAAAATTCCGGAATTGGTTTTTTATCTAAACATAAATAAATTCTTCTAATGCTAATGAGTTTAAGGTGACTTATAAAATTTTTAGAACAAAATATGGAAAATATATTTTGTATACTATAAATTTCTGAATACCACTAATAATACTGGTAGTGAATTTTCTTGCCCCTTGAACTTAATTTACTTGACCGCTGAGTCTTGACCTTGGAGTTATGCGGGTCCCTATTTATAACCTCATGTGTCTGCTCTCATTTGCAACAACAAGTAAGGTATTCATTCCTTTTGTTGTGAATTTTTTCACTCATATAATGGCTTTTTTTCTATTTGCGAAATAAATTGTGAATACGGTTACCAGTTTGAGTTTGTTCACTTAAATTGGGATATTCTTACATTTATCCATTTTCTTTCTAGATGGAACGCTTTATTAGAGGAAGCCTTTATGGAAGTGTATTTGGTGATGCTTGTGGGGCACCATTTGAGTTGAGATTGGAAGTGGCACTTAAGGATGTGTTGAAATTTTTTAATAAGAGATTTTCAGGAAGTAAGTTCCTCGCTTCGTGAAGTCTCTGTCCTGATTAAAAAATATTTAAATTTATAAGATATTTTCCTTTAAAGAAAAGGTTGGCATTTTAAATTACACGGATGATTCTGAAATGGCACTATGTATTTGTGAGTCTTTGAAAAGATCAAATGGGTTCAATGCATCCGATTTGGCTAAGACGTAAGTCATTTTTTGCATTTTTACTCTTTTTTACTCCGCATTATTTTGCTTCTATGTCTTTCTAGATTTTATGATGCGTACGATTGTTCGCCTCAATGCCGTCTTTATGGTGGTTCTATTGGAGGTTTGTTCGGAAAAATGAAGGCGAAGAATTTCGTCAATCCATCTTCAATCGCAGCCGCTCAGTTTAACGGCAGTGGATCGTATGGAAATGGTGGTGGTATGCGGGTTACTCCTGCTGCTATCTATGGCCTTAAACTCGGTACTGATGAGTTCAATGTAGGTGTTTTATTCACTTATTAAATTATTTACTTTCTCTTTAAGGGTTTAATAATGATCAAACGCATTCGAGTATGCCTTCTTTTTAATATACGCCATTACGCTTTTTACCATTAGAAGTGTGCTTTGTTTTCTTCTCTCCGTGCTGATGTACCTAATTTTATAATATTTTACTGCAATGCTTAATTCCTTCTAATGCCCTCTTTCGCTTATCCCTAAGTTTACTTTACAGTCGCACTTATTGCATCATAATGTGTATTTTTTATGGGGATTTTATTTTTCTGTGAAATAGAATGCGAAGTTTCCTTTATAAATTTATTATGTATGCTTTCTGATGGGAAATCAGACAGTCGAAATCAAAGTAAATCAAAAATTGAAATTAATTATCCTCAGTGCAGATACTTTTGATGCCTTTAAACGGAAAACCGCAGTTACAGATTTGGTTCCACATGCATTGTTCACTTATTTTGTTGATTGATGGGATGGTAAATTATGAAAATAGGTCTTCATTTTATGTTGGACCAATCAAAATATCCTATATTAGATATTTTCGACTAGTCTTACAAAATAATTATTATTGGCTTTTGCCCACTTCCATTGCAGAAGTTAATATGCGATGTTACTTCAATCACGCATACCAACCCACTAGCGCTCTATGGGGCTCTACTTCAGGCCCATGCGATTAGAAGAATAATTACACTTTCCGCCAAATATGGTGCCGGCTTTAAAATCGATACGGGCTTATTGATTGGCGGTCTCGTAGAGGACCTTACAAATGCGGATCTCTCAGCGTATGCCTTTGGACGCCCGTCCAACTTTCATAAGAATGCGCTTCAACATTTTCGTGAAAAGATCTCTACTGTTCAGGAATTTATCAGCCGAGACCACCGCCCAAGTGTTGGCGAGGTTGTTTCTAAATTAGGTAAGCTGCTTGAGTTCACTAGAACATTACAATATTAATTTCTGACAAATAGTCATTTTCACATTATTTCGACAATAAATTGGTGGGACAGTATGATCGATGCTGAGATTCCATTTCAATTTATTGACTGAAAGTATCATCTATTTGTCTGTTCTCATTCAGCATTTCTAAATGTGTTGTTATTGATAGTGAGAGGTAGCTTAATAATCGGGGTTTATGTTTGTTAGTTAACTTCATTTTTAATTCTGAATGACAATAAATATGCACGAGGTTGTCTCCGGCTATCCAAGCGTTCAGAGATGAGGTGAAAAATTAAAGTGTATGGGCCATTTTAGAGTTAAGATGAGAGATGGAATGCATTCAATCATAAAAGTCCAGGCTAAAAAATTTTAAATTCTATGAAAGGACACTATACGCATATTTCTCCACCTATTCAAATCAGCATTCTAAGTTCACTTCATAGACTTCATATAAGAGATCAAATATTAAATCGAGACACTTGTCAGAAGTATCTTTTACATCAGAGTAAGATATTTTGCAATTTTAATATAGTAACATGCTTTAAATATAAAATTAAAGCTAGGAGAATGTGAATATTTGATCAGTATATTTATGGAAATCGAAATGTGTGAGTAGTGGGGGTGACGTTGGAGACTGGGTCTCAACGCGGTTTGCAAAGCTTTAAATAAAAGCGAACATTGAGTGAATATTTTCCTTCATCTATGATCAGAAGCCAGGAGTGGAATTTGCAATCAATACTTGAGTGGACTCTCTTTCAAAAAGTTAGCTCGTGCAAGTTAACGACGACGACGAAGAGAACCTTTCGTTCGGTTACAAGTCGACACTTTTTCCTTTGGATCCTGAGCTCCTGTTAGCTCCTATCATACCTAAATGAACAGCCTCCTTTAATATGGTTACGACCACTGAGACTTCGAGAGAAGGGCAGAAAAGACGTAGTTCAATCGAATTAAAGAAAGACAATTGATTTGCTTGATGGAAATGATTTGTTGTTCTGAGGACCAATAATTGCTTCACCGTTGCACCCAGGTGTGAGCATAGAAATTCAATGACTACTAGCTCAATAGGGGGGGGGGG